GTCTGTCTCTGGCTGTCCCTGTGTCTATCCCTGTGTCTATTCTGTGTCTGTCCCTGTGTCTGTCCTGTGTCTGTCCCTGTGTCTATCCCTGTGTCTATCCTGTGTCTGTCCCTGTGTCTATCCCTGTGTCTATCCTGTGTCTGTCCCTGTGTCTGTCCCTGTGTCTGTCCCTGTGTCTATCCTGTGTCTGTCCCTGTGCCTGTCCCTGTGTCTGTCCCTGGCTGTCCCTGTGTCTGTCCCAGGAGCAGGGAGCTCATTCTGTCCCTGCACTGCTGAGGGCACACCCAGAGTGCTGTGCCCAGCTCTGTCCCCTCAGGTTGGGAAGGACCTTGGGACATCCAGAGGGGCCAGCGAGGCTGGAGAGGGGCTGGGAACACAAACCCTGTGAGGAAGCCCTGAGGGAGCTGAGGGTGCTCAGCCTGGAGAAAAGGAGACTCAGGGAGAGAGAGGGGCCCTCAGCCCTGCCTGTCCCTGTGGCTGTCCCTGTGTCTGTCCCTGTGTCTGTCCCTGTCTGTCCCTGTGTCTGTCCCTGTGTGCAGGAGCTCAGAGCAGGCCCAGGCTCTGCTCCAGGCCCAGCAATGGCCCCAGAGCCACGGGCAGGGCCTGAGCCCAGCAATTCCCCTCACAGGAGGCACAACTTCTGCCCTGGGCAGTGCCCAGCCCTGAGCAGAGACCAGAGGGGCTCTGGGGGCTCTTCCCTGGGACATTCCAGAGCCACCTGGACCCATCCCTGTGCCCTGTGCTCTGGGATGGAGAGAGGGGCAGGCTGAGGGATCAGCCACTCTCCAGAGTCCCCATCAGACTCCGGCTGGGTGGGACAGAATTCCCAGAGCTTGTCCAGCAGTGCTGGGCACAGCTTTTGGAGCTGATTTGTCTCTTGGTAGTCCTGGATTTTGGTTTTATTTGGAATGTAATGCAGTTGAATGTGCTGAACTTGCCCAGTTCTCAAGCAGTTTCTGTGAACTTCCAGAGGAACTTGCTGTGAAGTTCCTTTGGAGCTGTACCTTAAATATGGTGTCAGTCCTGAGGGGAGGAGGGATGGAAGAGAGTCTTTGTTGTCAGAGCACATTTGTATTAAAACTTTTGGGTGTAGTAGGAGGAGAGGTAGGAATCTTGGAGTTTACCCCTCTTTAAAAATTCTTAATACATTAAAAATTATTAATATATCAAAAAGTAACTAAAGTGGATGTGGGGTTTTTCTTACTGTCAGTTAAAAAAAAACCTGTTGCATTTAAATAGCTCATTTCCATGAGGAATTTCACAATTTGATGCAGTAACTATACCATTAAATTCCTAGTTTTATTCTAATTTCTGTCATATTCCTATTCCAGAGGCGGATGCCCCAAACTTTTCGTGATCCAGCCACTGCTCCACTGAGGAAACTCTCCGTAGATTTGATCAAAACTTACAAGCATATTAATGAGGTAATGCCTGCAGCTGCCTTCAGTGCACTGATGTTTGTTACAACACGTGATTTTAATGGATTTTTAACAAATAATCTCATCAAGAGATCCAAAAAATCAGGTTTTCTATCAGTTGTTCATGTCCTGTTTGAGGTCATGGCTGTCACAGTCCTGCTTTCTGTCCAGCACACAGGAAATCTTTTATCCTGGGATTTATTTTCTGTTGTTTTATAAACAAATATTGAGCTTGCAGGACAAGGAGACACGAGTGGCACAAGCACACTTTGAGCTCAATAAAACTTTATTTATGTTTCTAAGAGCTTTGAATGAAAATGCTGAAGTGTTTTCCCTTAATTATTGAATTAAATATTATAGACAAATGGAAAATATAAAGTTGTTCAGGGTAATACAGGAAAGCATCAGCTAGCTTGAAATTTTTGATAGTTAAAGGGATTGTGAAGATACTTTTATGGTGATTAGCCTATAAGGAAAATGCTGAAATATTTTTCCTGAATTATTGAATGAAGTATTATAGAGGAATGGAAAATAAAAAGTTGTTCAGGTTAATACAGGAAAGCATCAGTTAGTTTCAAAGTTTTGAAAATTAAAAGTAATGTGAAGGGATTTTTATGGTGATTAATGACTTCCTTGGAATTCTTTCCCAGTTTTGTGGGAACATCAATGGTAATTCTTGTTTCCAGTAGTTAACATTTTGAATTTTACTGTGTGCACAGTGTGCTGGGGTGTTCCTGTACTTTGGCACCTGTGACTCCAGAGATCAGGGTTACTATGTTTGTCAGAGTTATTATTACTATTTATTAGTGTTAGAACATTTATCAGAGTTATTATTATTATATATATAATATATATATTATATTATTATATAAATGTGTCTCAGCACATTTATCAGTGTTACTATTATTATTTTAATAAGTATTAAAATATAAGTAAGTATGTAATAATATTATAAGTATATATATAAGTATATAATATATAAGTAATTACTATTACTTATTAGTATTAATACATTTATCAGTTGTTATTATTATTATTTATTAGTGTCAGTACATTTTTTCAGCTCTGCTTTCCCAGTTTTTCCATTATTCAAGACTTTCCTTTGGAATTATGACCTGACTTCAACCACAGCAACAGGAGGAGAGGATTGCTTGGTTTTCACTTGTAGAAATTCCACTTTCAAAGCACAGGATGCTGAATCAAAGTTGATTTTCCTCTTTCCTGAGCTGCAGTTGTAAAGGAAGCTCCTTTTCCCCTCCAGGTTTACTATGCAAAAAAAAAACGGCGGCATCAGCAGGGCCAGGGAGATGATTCGAGTCACAAAAAGGAGAGGAAAGTTTACAATGATGGTTATGATGATGACAACTACGACTACATTGTGAAAAATGGGGAGAAGTGGATGGACCGCTATGAGATCGACTCCTTGATAGGCAAAGGATCCTTTGGACAGGTAAAGGCTCCTTGGTGTTCTTACCATTACTGTGGATCACAGGTGTGATTTATTTAAAGTGCTATTTCTGCTTTGTTTTGAAATTAAAACTCTTTTTTCTCACTCCTGTTTTCCTGAGTGCCTGTTCAGACACTCAGATCTTGTGCTATTTCATGTTACCACAGAAAACATTTAATTCTATTTCAGTGTGTGCTGCATTTTACAATGAGAACTCCTCCACCTTTTGCCACCTGTGACATTTTTCACTTGAGTTTGTTTTTAGTTTGAGTTACATTTTTACTTTGGTTTTGGTTTGAGTTAGGTTTTTAGCTTGAATTGGGTTTTTAACTTAAAACAATAGTTAGTGCTGGATCTTACCTCCTGTAAATGTCATTAGCAGCATTTGTTTTGTCTGGTTGCAGCTTTAGCCAAGGCTGCAACCTTGGCTAAAGTTGCAGCCATCACCTTCCCTCAGTCAGAATTCAAGAATTTGAGGGAAATATTTGGATTTGAAGCTGCTTTAACAATGACTGCTGGATCAGGATGGAGATTTTATTTTGCTGGTTTTAGTTTTCCTCAGATTTACCAGTCCTTTTACACTGTTGGTTTAGGTAATTTATTTACATATAAAGTGACATCACTACAATAAACATCAAATGAGTTGTAGCTTTATTGTATCATCAGAAGAAATAGAATTAAAAAGGAGAATTCTGAATTCAGAAAGGTGAACAAGGGAGTTTGGGTGGGTTTGGAAGTTGGATTTTCCTGATGGGTTTTTCTCTTGCAGGTTGTGAAGGCTTATGACCGAGTGGAGCAGGAGTGGGTGGCCATCAAAATCATCAAAAACAAGAAGGCTTTCCTCAACCAGGCCCAGATTGAAGTGAGGCTGCTCGAGCTGATGAACAAACATGACACTGAGATGAAATACTACATAGGTATGGGATTAATTACTCCTCGTTTTTATCGCTTTATGAAAGGTTTGGATCTTGCTGTGGAGCTCAGGCTGCTTCCAGCTGGTTGCCAAATCCATTTTGGAATATTTGTGATGGTATTTGGTGGTTCCTGCCACGCTGGTGGGTCCAGCCAGCTCAGGAGCTCTGGGAGGAGCTGGAACCAAGTGAAGGAAGCCCAGCAGGACATGGAATGGTGGGAGGAGAATTCCAGGACATGGAATGGTGGGAGGAGAATTCCAAAGGTGAGAGAAGAGGGATTTGGACAAGGATGTGTGGCAGGAAATGGCACCAGGGTGGGAGCAAAATGTTCCATCTCAGGTGAGTTGTAAAGGACACAGAAGGAGCTGCTGTGGGAGAACGGAGAAAACAAATCCATGGGCACCAAGCTGACCAAAAATCCACCTTAATTAAAGTCTGAATTCTCATGGTGCTCATATTCAAGATTTTATTATCCCAGAAAGGGGAGTGTGTTGCTTTTTCTCTGAAATGCTTTTCCTGTTTCAGTTGAAGGTTTGACAGTGGCAAACCCTGCTGGCCTCTGAACAGAGGAATGTGATGAATATTTCACTTATTTAACAAAAAAAAAGGCTTGGATTGGTTCCTTTCATAAACTGAAAGGAAATGAAAACAATTCCTTGGGGATATTGATCAGTTTTATTAATTGAAGTGATCAGCTTATAAGTTGATGTCATTGTGTATTTTAAATTATTCTCACATGTTAACCAATTAATTATTAATTAATTATTCTCACATGTTAACCACCAATTAAATGTTTCCTCTGTACATGTAAGGAAGGGATAACTTATTTTGATAATACATCCCTTCACAAGTTTTTGGTTAATTCAGTTTTACTGAAGTGCACATGAGGATGTGAAAA